CTGTCGGTTCCATCACCATTTTTCCTGGCAATTGAGTTAACTGAAAATCAATGTCGAAGTGTGCGCATGCATGTGGAGAGAGCTGAGAGAGAGAGAGAGAGAGAGAAACAAAAACAATAAGACAGGGGAAGCCACGGCTGAGATCATCGAAAGTGCCGAAGCGACTGAAGAAAGTGGATGCCGTGAGTGGTGCAGAAGGGTCCATCCGCTGATCCAAACTCCTAGAGTCTTAGAGTTGTAGGGGGAACTTGTCTTCCCGTTCCCTTCATGGATGTGCATGCCGCATGCCGTTCGCTTCAGTCATCGCGACTGGTCATCACGTCCCCGTGTGACCACCGCACTGGGCCAGGCACCCGTCCGCTCTGAGATGATGGGCATCCAGGACAAGTGCCTCGGTGGAGAGGAGACCTTTCAGCCCAGGTTCAACCCTGTGACCTTACAATGAACAACATCACTGGTGTCACTGCCACAAAAAGGGGTATGACTCGCGGAATGACAGCTGATTTGGGATCTTCGGTATTTCTGAATGGTTGATTCCAGCATTCAAAGTGTTCTTCAATTCACACCGCAGGAGTTGGGGCCGCCGGAGCCCCCAACTCTTTACTTGAAGCAGGCCGCCTCTCACAAGGATTTGTATAATGTGTGAGGGCAGGTTGGAGATGACAGCTTGGAAGGACTGCCTAGCGGCTCTGAAGAATTAGAGCTGTCAATACCCCTGATAGGGTTTGCAATTAAGAGCCAAAATCAGTGGACCAAAATACTGTTGCAAAAAGATATGCACATGTCATACCCACATGTGATACCGTGAAGAGCTGGGGATCATGTTCCCCAACTAGGGAGCTTTCGTGGGGCCGTTCCTTCGCCACCGAGGTCCGAATCGTTGGAACAGCCGGATGGCTGCAGTGCAGGGGGCCGGTCGTCATCGCGATCACGTCATGATCTGGGAGAAAGAAGGCTTTTGGAAGGTGGTGAAAATCACAAAGACATAATCTGGGTATTCATAATTCATCACAATAGGGATCTGACACAATAATAGATACATATAATCTAGGGTCGGGCAGTTCCTTTTTGGCTGACTTCTGGTACACGCGTGGTAGTGAGCGGTGCCAATGTTCTTTCCTCCCAATTTGGGGGGGCAAGCGTGTGATGTTGAGTTACCAGGCACCAGGCCTTTGTGAAGCAAGTCATTTGAACAATATGTGTCTCATGTCAAGCGTAATTCTGGTACAGCAACTTCAGTTCCAATGGTTCTTCATCCGCACCACTCCAGCAGAACCACTCAACACCAGAGGAGATTTGTCAAGATTCTGCCAAGGAGTTATCCCGGTTATCCCGGAACATTCTCTAAACTACAAAACCTAAAGGAAGCTCTGAAAGCGTTCATCCTACTCAGTCACACTCTTCTTGAACCACCTTAGGGCTTTGGTGTTTTCTCAGTTTCCCAATGGCCCATGGCTAAGATGGATCATCAAACCTACATCCACTAAGGTTGGAGAAGAGCATTGCAAAGAATCGGCGCTCCGTATTCATGCCCCATGAAGATGCCCTTTGGCCAGGTAATGCGACGTGCTCGTGTTTCATTTCTTACTCAAGAGGTAGAATCGAACACAGATCTGAGGGTGAATCGTATTGAGGCACGTAGACATTGACTCCTGCTAACCTCGAAGTTTCCCCTCGAGCTACAGGGGCCTTTAGATCACCGGATGCTTGACCCATCTTGCCATGGAAAGCAGGATGATGCTGGAGCGTTAGCATTGGCTGGCTGCTACCACTCACAGTGGCAGCGGAGCTGGGCTGACGATCCAGGACCATGCCGAACTCCGAGGCAGAGGAGGACGAGACCTACACGAGGCCACCGAGGAGCGGAGCCAGGGGAGAGAGAGAGAGAGAGAGACAAGTCCCAAAGCGAAAGCAGGGGCCAAAGCTACTGCGAGCGTTGTCAGGCATGGCGCAGCTCGCTGTTGAAGAGATGGACTTCGACGACATCGCGAGCGAAGATGGCGTGAGAAACATCATGGCAAGGTCTTACGCCCGCATGGGGAAGGCCTTCAGCCGCTTGTCCAAAGAAGGGGTAGGCTTTTTGCCGGCAGTCCACCGGTACATTCTGTACCGCCAGGCTTCATTGATTGAGCGAGGCAAAGAACAGAGGTTGTTGACCTGGTGTGATGGTCGCTACGACAAGATGTCCCTTGTCAAGCCCTCAGAAAGCCCGACAAGGTCGTTAGGGACAATACTTCCGGCAAGAACTCCTACATGCTGGCCCTCGATGAGACTCTTGAGAATGACGTGTGCATCCAGGCTGAAGAGGACGAGGGTGGTGGCGAAGACTCTACCGTATCTATTATGGCAGAGGGGGGCCTCGATGGCACCTACACCGAAGCTCTAGCGAGCCATAGAGAAATGAGAGATGCGCTTTAAAGCCAGCAAAGCGGAAGGCTTCTACAACCGGGAGAACCTTCAGTTGACCAAAAAATAGGATCTTTTGGCTGAAAAAGTTTGTTGAAGAGAGGAGGCAAACTTTCAAATTCTCTGTCTCACAGACCGCCGATCAGTGCAAGGCCGCATCACGGCCTTTGAAGTTGGGGTCATGGATACGGCCGCTGAGGTTGGTTCGGTCGGGACTCATGCCCTTCAACGACTCGAGCGCCAGCTACAAGAACATGGCTTGTCCTGCCAAGTGGTTCCCCAAGAAGTCATTAGCCAAAGGCGCAGGAGGGCAAGCTCAAGCTGCTGGAGGCATGATTCCTGTCTTGTGGGCATCGGAGGAGTGAACGGACTGTTATAGTTGAGCCACGAAAGCAAAGAAGACCTGGAAGAATGGAAATTTTTTGCGCTTCAGAGTGCGACAAGATCCCCAAAGCAAAGCTATAAAGTGCCGGTAAATACTGGTCCAGGATCGCAAGAAGATACAAGCCCTCAGAGCAGCCAGGTGAAGCCCCAACGAAGAAGAGTCGACTGTGCATCAGGGGAGACAGAGACCCCGACATCCTAGACTTGGAACGGTTCAGCCCAACTGTAGGCACCATGAACTTGAATTTTATGCTTCGGTTGGCACTGAGCAGAGGATGGAAATTATTGCTGGGGAAGTGTGTTCTCCGCTGAAGCGGGAGAAAGGGTAACTGTATTTCAAGCAGCCGGCTGAAGGCATAGCCGGGCTACACCCAGAACAGATTTGTTGAAGCAACCCGGCTTCAGAGAGAGCACCCTGGACCCATGCATCTTCAAGCCCCATGAAGTTCAATTAAATTGTATAGGGGTGCTGGCCATAGACGTCGACGACATTTCGTCATGCGGAAAGGGGTTCCTTCAAACACTGAGAAGATGAAAAAACTGAGGGGTCATTTCAAGGTCGGAAAGTGGATCGACCTCAAGGACGAAAAACATGAAGCAGGCTTCAACGGAAGGAGGTTGAGACAAGACTCTAAAGGAACCCTCCACATAGAAATTCATAGAAGAAAGGCTGGAGGATGATGCCTCTCTTGGAAACGATGAGTTCCACTCCCAGGAGCCAGTTCCACACCCAGGAGCCAGGTTTGACAAGAGGTGAAAGCCAACCTGATCTGGTGGCGAAACGAAAAGCTGCAGCCAAAGCTGCAGTCAGTTGCCAACTCGACGCTGGCCGCGGAATCCAGAGCTTAGCCCGAGGACTTGGAGATCTTTCTATGGGTGAAGGTGCTGTTCAAAGAGCTAGAAGCTGAAAGATTCAGCATGCATGAATGGCCCGCAGCCCTCTCTCGCGACCACCTTGAGCGAATGTCTGGCAATGTGGGTGCTAATTGTCTTGACGGCTATATGTGTAAGGGGACGGTCGGAGGTCAAGACACGAGAACTGAGGCAGAGCGCCTTAAGGGCCCCAACTTACAGGGGCCCTTAGATCACCGGATGCTTGACCCATCTTGCCATGGAAAACAGGATGATGCTGGAATGTTAGGATCGGCTTGCTGCTACCAGGCTACCACTCACAGACAGCAACAAAAGCCTATAGTTGGATATACTGTGGGGGTTTACGCAACCTCTAGTGTCTTCAAGCCGAATGATGCAAATTGAGTCAAAGTAGGAAGAGTGCAGCCGCAGCCCTGTGCCGTATTTCAAAGGAGATGTGGTTGGACAATAATGGAGAATAGGCGGAGCTGCGGAGCATGCGTTCATGCAACGTGCCTGGGGCAAGACCTCCTGACGACACCATCTGCATGTAGATGAAAATTCCCGAACAAGGGCCAAAGGCGTTGCTGTAGCAGTAGCAGGAAGATGGATTTGCATGTTTATTTGTTAAGTGCAGCATTGTCCAATGACTGTATGTGCAAGTGTCATTCCTGGCTAGGGTAGTTTGCCTATAAGTTCCCTCTTCCCAGCGCAAGTCGATGCTAACCTGGCTTGGAAGAGACGCGGGCTGTAAGGTCAGAAAACGTTTTCACAAAGCCTTGTCGTAACTGGTGCTTGGATGTCACCTAGGTCAGGACCAGCATCCAATCTGTTTATGGTGCCTCGGCAGCATGGGCCAAACTGACAGGAGCTAAGCATAGCCGAACTCAAGATAAACATCGCACAGGGACCTTTCAGGTATTTTCAGGTGCTGGGTTTAAAGGAGCCGTTCCGAAGGGAAAACACAGGCCAACTTTTCATGAGGATAGCGAAGCCCAACATGTAGTGTTCAAGGGTGTTTAGTCAGGATAAACCATCATGACTCAGTGATATATATTCGGATATTTACATTGTATATAATACATATGTACCAATATATCATATACCCTATTTTTTAAGTCTTGCATCCCTTCGGCGATATTTGACCCATAGCTTCCTTTACTGCAGCATGGATAGAGGTTGAACAGCAAGGCAGTAAACTATGCAAACACTCCTTCATCATGCGGAGGGGCAACACTGACAACACTGGTTTTCAGCAGGGATTTGGCCAAGGATCCCACTTCCGCCAGAAGACGAACATGGTGGGAGGAACTTGCTCCAAGGTGGCCAAACATCCGCAACTTTGACTCAAAAGTCAAGGACCGGCCAACCCTAAAGGAGAACACGAGGAATTTTACCGTGGGACCGTGGGACCTCAGGTTTGAAAGCACATGTTGGAACATAGGTATGTGTGCCTCAAACATGTTGAGCCTTCGGTGCTGCTCACGGTGCTTTCCAAGTCACATTTTTTTCGCGGACCCGCACCATGCCTAGGTATTTCCAGAACCTTGACATGCTCATGATTTGTGTGTATGCCGTGTGGATGGGCATTGATGCTGATTGGAACGACAAAATGTTGATCACCGATGGCCAGTGGATGTTCCAGACAGCGGACCAGGTCTTTTGCGCTTCGGACGGGGAACGGAACCGGGAACCCGCCTCGTTCTTCCCCGGGTTTTTGAAAGACAGATCCAAGAAAGATCTCGGTGCCCAAGTGGCCTTAATGATCGACTTAAGCAATGATTTTGTGAGAAGTTTGTGCACGCCGTGGGTCTCATTTTGGCCTGACATTTATGTCAAGATTGTAGATAGATAGATATATATATATATACTAATATATATTAAGAGAGCGTCCAAATGAAGAAGTCATGGGCTTCTCATGATCGTATAGGCTACGCCGTAGGCATCGGTAGGTCAACTCCGAATGGAAGGAAGTCACTCACACTGAGTCACTGAGTGACCAGCGCCACAGAAAGGGACCCGTTTCGCGCGCACGTATCAGGCCCCGTAGATTTCACGATATTTCACACCTTGACCTCTCAGAGTGTTCCTGTTGTGGGACGGCTGGGAGTCAGACTTGAAAAGCTTCGATCCAAGGCCACTTGAAGGATTTGTTAAGAAGTCCATTGGGTCACTCGAGGTTCAAAACTTGGAGGTCTCAAATCAAAGTGCCAAATTCCACACTTTCAAAGTTCGAGTGCAGTATCCCAATTGTATCATAAAGATTCATAAAGTATATCCAAGTTGTAGATGTGGTATTGCCAAAGTGTAGGAGACAAAACATTGGCCCTTTAGTCAGAACCATTGTTCAGAACTAGTCGCTGAAGTAGAACCAGCTGATGCAGTCCCATTCGCTCTGAGGGCCGCAACATGTCCCTTGCCCATTGTGCAAGAAACCAGACGGATCACGAAGTTGCCAGATTCGGACAGATGTGTCCAAAGCATCAATTCCTCATTTTGGCCTTTGATTCGGTGTGAATCAGTGAATTGAATATACATATATATATATATATACACATAATCATTTTCTACTTCAACTTGGTTCCAAGTGTATCTGAGGCGTGTACTTTGTGGTAGAGTTGATGATTCGCTTCTTCGCCTTTACCAATTGCTGGGACCGCATTCGTGACCCATGGTCACTTGGCCCACGACTTGGACGGACATTTTTCGAAAACCCTTTTGTAGCGCACTACTTCTTCCCAGCTGTTCCTCCCAGAGGCCAAAGAAAACTGCTATGGAACCTCTTGGATGTTTTTGTTTTGGGTGTTTATTTGTGGCGTGTTCGGAGGGCCCCAGCCAATTCCTTTTCCCAGGCACACCCATTGCTGGAAAAGAGTTTATTGGACAATGCTGTTTGGCTGTTTGCTGATCTTGTTGCGTTTGGGTCATGTCTCGGTATGTCTCGGTTTCTCGGAGTCATTAATTACCTCAGATTTCAGCCACTCTCAGCATTTGCAAGGTTTGTGTTGGATTCCATCTTGGTGCCGCTCACCATTTTTGACACCTGGGCGCCGCAGCCGAACAAGTTGGGTCCGAAAAATCCAGAGATTGGTTTTTGGAATGCAAGATCAACTTTGTGCAGATGCCAGGGGCAGGGGTGGGCAGAGTTTGACAGGACAGAGCCTTATCAGTGTCCGAGCGTTAGAAGTAATTTGGACGCGGTGCTGCTTAGTGGCCAGTATCCACCAACTCTGACCTCCACCAACGTACTCAATGGACTGATTGAAAGCTCCTACAGTCTTCAACATGAAAAAGACAGTGCCTCAGTGAGATTGCTTTCTTAACCGACATTGTTCGGTGGAAATGGTTTCCTCATAGTCTTTGAGTTTTTGGATATGCTTTTGACGATCTTGTGCTCGCTTGTGCCTCGCAAGCACCGCAGAAGCAACACCTTGAGGCGATGACCATCATCTCTTTGTCCTCAAACGTGGATGAGCAAGATGCAACGATTGTACGTGGTCTACTAAGTTGCTCCAGTGCTTGGTTCATTTGCTCCGGTTTCGTTCAGGCATATGTGTTAGGCACTAGAGCAGAGCATCTTGGTTTGGTCAAGGTTTCAAAGGAGGGGCTGCACAACTGGCAGACTCTCAATGTTTTGATGTGCTATGTCAATTTGGTCAAGTTCTTGGGTTTGGTTGTGCATTTGCACGAGGTCGCTCGGAGATTCTGCGCTGGTTCAGGCCAGGGTGGTGCCTTCAGGCATTTTGAGGGTGGGTCTCAGTATGTATAGGAGAACCCTGCCCGATAGGTTTGGTCATGTTAGGTCCGCCATGCACACCCACTGCCATCAATGCTGAGAGAATCCTTCCACCGTCGACGCGGCTCGGCTCCCCCTGCGTCTCCTCCCGGCCAGGACGCTGCGGCTCTTCCGGATCGCCCGGGTTGCCAAGCTCGTCAGGCCGGCGCCTGGGGTGGGGTGGATGGAACAATCCATCATCAAGGTGGTGGGGGTTCTATGTATAGACTATAGTAACTATAGACCCTCCAGCTGCAGCGAAAGGCAACCATTGAAGTAGACAAGGACCTTTTCTTGCAAGTTGAGTGGTTTTTGCAATCAGGGGTTTGTTCCACTTCCACCTTAGTGAGTTGGAGGGCACATCCCAAGGACAATAATTTCTTGGCAATGTCCTGCTTCAAGAGGTGGCGAGAATGCTATGCTATGCAGAGAGAGTGAGAGAATTACGGGTATAGATGTTCAAGTGTTGTGATATAATATATGCTGTGGTGAGAGCATGATGATGACAAGTGATGTTTCAGATCCGAGGTATGCTGCAGGTGGTCTGCAGCAGTGAAAAGAGCGCCCCCGTCTAAATCCATCCTTAAGATGGTAGATTGAAGGAAGATGGAATAAAATTTGCGCAAGGGTCGAGGGTGTTGCGCTAGCTAATTTAGAAGTTTGAGCCAGCTCCACAGACAGCTCCAGCGATCCCTCTTCTCCATCTCGTAGGCTTGGGTTCCTGCTTGCGTTCCTCATGCCATATCGACACCCCAGCTCCCGCTTGTTTGTGTGATTGCGATGTTCCTTATGTACATTCTCACTTGCTAATTGAGCCAGTGTCAGCATCCAGGGGTAGCTACAGTGCTGCATTGTTTGGCCAGACATCTGCGTGTCCAAAACATCGAAAAGTGTGCTCCGGGCATGATCTTCCATAGTTTGCCATACCCTGGAACACGTGCATTTACAGTTTACTCCATTCATGGTCCCAATGGAAGCACGTATCCCTCGATGTCACGATCACGGTGGTTCAGAAGGCTCCGATGGACTGGCTGTCAGGGGCCTATGTGGTGGGGTGAGCATGGGGCAAGCATATATATAGACAGATTTTATGCTTGAAATCTACATTGAAACGGGAGGTTCTTGCCAGAGCTGCAGATCCTGCTGAAGGCAATGCTCACGGCCTTCCGATCAGCTCCTGGGATGCGGCCGTGCTTGCGAAAGCACCGTTTGCTTCGCTAACAGTGGGGATATTGTACTATGATGTATTATGCACGCACCGGTGTACACGACATATAAATCTATGCTTTGTTGCTATGATGTTTTTTTGGGGGGTTGTTGGCCTGTTTTTGATTTGAGACTTTTCCCATTGTGGTTGGAGACTTGGATGAGAAGTTTGCGACGCGCCTCACTTTCTTCAGGATCGTGTGGACGGACTGCAGGATCGTTGTGGAGGTCACCCATGCCAAAATAGACAAAAAAGGGACCGCACGAGGGACCGCATCGGGGCCGTATACAGGGTCACTGATGAATTGAAAGCAACGACTGCATCGAAAGTCGGAGAGACCAGGGTTCCGCCGCTGCCAGCGGGGCTGCCGTTTTATCGGGGCGGGCAGGATCGTGGGCTGCTGAAAGTCAACCAAATTTAATTAGAGGATTAGCTGCAGGCACACACAACTGTTCCAGGTGTGGGGAAACATGGAGAAATCAAAAAAAGACAATCCTGTGGGGGATGCCGGCTCCTTGAACGAAGGCAACCGCTGGTGTCCCAACTATGTCGGAGCTGTGAGTGTCACCACATGACATGATTTGGATGGGCACAAGAGGCCTCTTTAATCCTTCTTATATATGACTATTATGACTGCAACTATATTATGTTGAAACATGTTGAAAGGGAGTCCTTCAGCACAAGGACTTTTTCAGCCTTTTGAGGTCAGCATCCTGGCAATCTCAGGTGTTCTTTGCCCTCCTCTTGCTTCTCGCGTCGCACTACATGCTTGCCATTGTCTTCAACGTCACCTTGCAAAACACCACTTCTGGCGAAGCCCACTTTGACACCGTCTTGGCACCTCGGTTCAGGGTCAACCCTGTTTCGATTGGACGGTCGGTTCCGAGCTCGGTCGGTTCCCTTTTGAGTCCCACTTTGGGTCAGGGCATGCCGGAATTCGAAGATCGTCTCCATGTCTCAGCCCCCCCCCCACGGAATTCTTGCACACATTCTTGGACCTGCAATCGCCTGCGATGACCAAGTGATACCGTCATCCACGCCCTGGGATGGTGTCCTCGTCCGTTTGGTGGAGGTTCTGCCTGTGTCGCTCAGGATTCCATGCAGACCCTCTTTGTCCACTGCACCCTGCTGGATGAAGTGCTTCAACTCATTGCCACTTGGGTCACCATTGATGGAATGTCCAGACAGACGACGTAGACGAGTCTACGTCCCTCCAGTAGGTCATGGTCAGTTCGTCTCACGGTTCAGATTCAGACGTTCCACGAATCCTGACAGAACCTCGTGGGAGATTCGCACGACCTAGGCAAAAGATTCCCAAACATATTGACTGCTTTGAACATGCCTTCTCACCTTTTCCAACCGCCAGCCACGGCCAGCCTTTCAATCTCTGGAGCTTTGGATTTCAGGTTACAAGCAGTCATGTTTGGATCATCCAGAAGGTGGAGATTTGGATCATATGTGTGTTCTCCACTGAGGATGCTCTCAATCTCGAAGGACTCTACTTCCACTTGGTCATGGTGTACTTTGTGATGTTTATCAATGTGACTTGGTCAGTTCATCAAACTCCGGCACCCTTCAACTGTGGTGGCGCGTTTGTCACAGCCGGTTGCTGTAGAAAACGGGCATTATTTAGTCTCAAGGAGGTAAACTCACCGGGAAGGGGTCAAGTATTGCGTTTTCTAGAGGTGGAGTAGTTCACCAGAAAATGAGGTCTCATAGGCATGCTGGCAGGATCATTTTCTAGACATCACCTTGTTTTCTTGATCCCACCTGTCCCTTCATTTCTAGTGAGGTTCCTCACGTTCTAGGAAACATGATGAAATATGATGAATCATGATGAGTCAAGACGGAGTTTAAGTAAAACACAACAAATCCACTTGCTTTGTTTGTTTTGTTTGCTCAAACCCACTTCCTCAACAGGTAGTGGCTTTTGCTTCGTTGGTGTCAGCATTTTGATATCAATCACTTCATGAATGATGATTTTCTTCCTCTTGGCCTCCGGCGATTCTGCCTTGATTTCACGCTTGATGTTGTTGTAGCCCCTTTCCAACTTGGCAGAGAGTTCAGGCTTGATATAATGGTTTGCCTTCATGGCCGATTCAGTTTTCATCTTCTTCAGGGTTGGTTATCATCATCATCATCATCACCACCAAAATTCAAGGTTATGAACTCACACAACTTCTGCCAAACCTTGAGCACTCATTTTCTAAACACTGAATTCCTCATTTCCCCATGTTTCCCCACAGGTTGTTCAAGTCCAGTTTTTTCGTTCTGAAAACATAAATTTCTTTCGGAAAATGATGAACATCCTCACATATGCTCACCAAAACCTTGAGCACTCATTTTCTGGACACAGAATTCCTCGTTCCCCCATGTTTCCCCACAGGTTGTCCAAGTAAAATTTTAACGTTCTGAAAACATAAATCTCTAGAAATAATGAAGAACACGCTCACCAAAACCTTGAACACTCATTTTCTGGTCTTCCCGACAGGTTGTTCAAGTCAAGTTTTGTCATTCTGAAAACATAAATCTCCAGAACATGATGAACATGCTCACCAAAACCTTGAACACTCACTTTCTAGACACTGAATTCCTCGTTCCCCCATGTTTCCCCACAGGTTGTTCAAGTAAAATTTTAACGTTCTGGAAACATAAATCTCTAGAAGATGATGAACATGCTCACAAAAACCTTGAACACTCATTTTCTAGTTATATATATATATGTTTTTTAAAGTTTTGTATGCTTTGTTTGCTTTTGGGAGTCCTCGCAACACGTAGATGTAGGATGAAGCAGGAACCAAACCGAAGATGCGCCAAACACAAATAAGGGTGCGTTTGGAATTTCAGGTCATTTTCTACTGCTTTCACTAGATTATGCCAAACCTGCCTCATGAGGCTGCGTCACTCATTTCCTAGGGAGCTGACATTCATCATTCCCCAGGAAATTCACTAAAAAATGACTAGGACTGACCCCTCCATGTGATTTTCATGGGGGGTTATATATACTTATATCTTAACTCATACGAATCATAAAAAGTCACAAGAGTTCCTCATTTCCCGTGTGCTTTTGTCACCTTTTGCCCATCAACAGTCTGGAATAACTCCCCCTTCTGCCATGTAGAAACATAACCACAGTTTGTGCAAACAGCAAGTCCAGGGGGCCATTCTCCATTCGCTGAGGCGATCACATTGATGAATATATTGATTGGAATTGTGGTGGAAGTCATCAGCAATGTGGCAGCTGCTGAGAGGCCCTTCCCTTCCCCCGAGAACAGCTGATCGACTCAAGAACAACGGGAGAGCCATGGCCGAAAGGAATGCTCCATGCGGGCCCTACGTTTCCAGCAGGTTTAGTCTGTTGATTTGGCCTTCTACCAGTGGGTTTGGATGGTTTTGCTTAGCAATGGCTGAACAGACATATATAGGTACAAAATGGCTTCCAATGGAGGTGAACTTCTCAGAACATGTTTTACCAGAAACTGATTTGCCCCACTGCTGGGTCTGTGCCAGGCAATCGATGAAAGTGAAGTGGGTTGCAGACGTGATCGCCCAGTTCTTGGGTGTCGAAGAGGGATGGATCAAACAATCCGCCGCTCAGCTGGGATCGAACGTTGGGCGGCCTTCCTTCAGACCAGGACGAGGCTTATTTTGTGCCAGGAAAAAGAGGATCAAGAGGTAGTCCACGGCGATGAAGAATCTCAGATCAAGTCCCGCTAGTCAACCAAAGGGCCTGAAATTGGCGTGACGAGGATGGTAGTGAGGACAGAATTTGGGGTGACTTTTTCTTGCCATAGATTGGGCACTTGGATCACATCACAGGAACTGTAAGCGAAAAATCTTGGATATTCTCCGAGGAGTTGCTGGATATCCTGCGGGGCTCGCCAGCCATGTCGGCGCTGAAGCTTGTAGGCCGCATCCGGCCGCCGAAGAAACCGCCTCTGACCGCGTGGTCGGGGACGAGTTGAGCTTGACCAGTAGCGGAAAGTCGAGGATGACCAGGTTTGGGGATCCTTATATATAGACTTCTTTGTGGCATAAGTTATAAGTCTCTAATTACCTTTGCCTTCTATTTCTGGGATTTAGCATTTGCTTTAGATTTATGATTTTTGAGAACCGTGCTCATCACAGGCTGCAGCACTAAAGCCTCCGAATGGCATGTTTCCGCACTACACAAAGAAGGCTACTTGTGTCATGCCTTTTCCACTCCCTATGTTTGGGCTTATGTTCTTATATAGTTCTTGACCCTGCATATTGCCGGTTCCTCAACCACGCTCACCACGTACACCCAACAAAGTCAAAAGCACCCTCCAACTAACGTGGCTCCGTTCTGGACAGGAGCTATGGCTTATGTCGCCGACCGATGCCTCTTGTCGTTGGACCCATTTGACCCGCTCTTGGACAGGTGTGGACCGTGCCACGCTGATTGAGACGGTTGACCAGCATTTCAAGGCGGGCGGGTTTGAACGGCTTTTTGGGTCCTGGTGGTGGTTCAGATTGCCCATCGCAGCAACCTTGTCGGAAGGGGCGAATTTACCATTGCCAGGAATCCGGTCTCACGTCGATTGACCAGTTCGAGCGCTGGTCGCCTAGGCGCAGTAGCGGTTTGTCCATAAGCAATGTTTGTCCACATGGGTGTGCATGTTAATAGGGAGGCATTCAAGCATTAGGTGTTTGATTTAGTTATTGTCCTTCTTCCCGGGGGCCTTTGGTTTCCCATGGTTTCCCAATATGTAATGCACACCCACGTTCACCTTTCCATTTCCAGAGGCCACATAAGGCCCTGCATTCATCGATGTGTGTCACTACGCGTTGGACAGCCGGAAGAGATGCAGGTTCTATCGTCGGCTGTGTCCATAAGCTTGGACAGTGGAGGTGGCCGTGGGTGTTATATTAACACCCTGTCTTCAAAAGGCACTCAAAGAACCAAGCTTGGCACACCGAAAGGACTAGGAGATACCATGAAAGGGTTGGCTCGGAGCATGACTGCTTCTGATTGTGATGACCGCGCGGCTGTTGCTCATGCAGGAGTTCCGAAGCCAAAACCCGGATCCCGAGATGTCTGTGGAAGACTTCGTGGAACTGGTCCTAGCGTGCCTTGGTACTGTAGGTGGGTGGTTGCTTGGGTGACTGATGGGGCTTCTGACGGTTGAGAACACCTGGCACTGAAGAGTCCATACCATAGTTGCGATTGTTGCAAGCTGGCTGCGCCTGATGCAGGTAACTTCTTCTGTTGGTGATTGCCCTGACCGCCCCGACTTGCACATGCAAGCACAAATGTCACCGCTTTATGTCAGAGATCCAACATATATATATATATCTATAGGGTGCAAAAATGGCCGGATTGATACAGTAGGTTTTCCAGTTGTCAGGTCACAGCCGACTCTTGTCACCCCGCTAGACTCACCACCCGCGGAAAGTTCTTTTTTGGGCTCACTTCCCCGAGCGAGATGAAGCACCTGTCATCGACTCTTTTGCACCATGTTTTTGTGAGAAAGGCTGTGTAGGTCAAGTCCAAGTGAAGTCTTTCACTGCAGGTTTAACACCATCCACTCATATTAAGATATATTGAGTATCCTACTATATATATATTATATCATATGTCTATTTATTATCCATATGCATTATTCATTCATGATGTTTTTGCCAAGCCTGATCCCGCACTTCTTCCTTTGCCTCGGGGCCTCGGCGAACTTGGCCGAGAAAGGATAGCGCTCATAGCTGGCATTAGCTGCGTTACTGGTGCTCAGGCTGATATCAACAGAAAGGTGCTGTGGAGTGGAAAGGATTCGAGCTCCCGTTCGCACCAGGTTGCGTGGAAGCAACACTGCCACGGTCAAGGACGGCCCCCCTGCGAGTTTTCCTTCACGGTCGGCTCAGGGTCAAGTGGGAATCAGACCAGCCAGAGCAGCCAGAGCCTTTTGTAGAGAAAGAGTGTTTGCACTTGTGTGCTTGGTGTGTGGCATTGTGCAGTCAATGCATGTCAATGCGGAAGTCTGTACCTGAAAAGAAGACCCTATTGCCAATATGACAGCGTGGACCCACGAAGATAAGCCATCCCTTTGTCTACAACATGACCTTTCTCGGGTTTTCTCAGTGTCCTTTTGAAAAGAGGTTCTTGAAATAGATGCAGCAGAATTGTCCCCCTGTGTCTTAGGGTGAGTGCTCTTTTGCATGTGGCCCTGGTATCGTGATGTTCCTGAGTATTTATATACCTATAACTAGCAAGGGAGGTGCATTTTTCTGAAAGGGATTCCTTTCATATATATATATATATTTTTTTTTTTGTTTTCGGATTGTTTTTGTTCAGCAGATCTTGCTTTTGCAGCTTTTCTGCTTTTGCTGTTTTTTTTGCATTGCGTTTGCTTTTACTGTGTTTTTGCTTTTGTTGCTTTTCCTATTTTGCTGCTTTTCTTTTGCATTGCTTTTGCTTTTGCATTGCTTTTGCTTTTGCTGCTTGTTTGCTTTTTATGTTTGCTTTTTGTATTTACCTTGTTTTTTTGCTGCTTGTCTTTTTTTGACTCGGTTCGTTTTTTGTTGCGTTGGTTGCTTTGCTGCTTTTGTTGCTTCTGTTCATGTTTGTTGCTGTTCGGCCTACTGTGCTCCATTTGTTGCCGTTCAGTCTGCGTTACTGCACAACTTGCACATATATTATTGAGCTACACACATTAGACAGAGAAGCTTCAATACGCGTTGCGCATATGTATGTCATGCTTTTTTGTGCGGTGCTTGTGGGAAAACACATTGAAGTACAGCGCTGCTTACATGTGGTGCTTACAAGACGCAATAAAGCCCAAATTTTGGGTAAGAGCGAGGGGCCATTCCAAGGTAGCAGACCGTTTGCTACCACCCGAGATTAAAATTTTGAGCTGGAAGGGGTGATTCCAAGGTAGCAGACCTCTGGACAGCCATTCCAACACAGCTGCCCATTTGTGAGCCACCTGATGGTGACATTTAGAGAAGGAAGGGGCCATTCCAACATAGCCCTTTTGTGAGCCACCCGAGGTTGAAATTTAGAGGAGGAAGGTGCCATGCCAACATGGCAGACCTTTTGTGAGCCCCCTGAGGGTAAAGTTTAGAGGAGGTAGGGCCCATTTGTGAGCCACCTGGTGGTGACATTTAGAGGGGGGGCAAGGTAGCAAACCTGTTGTGAGGCATCCGACCCCCCCAAAAACATCTTTAGACGAGGAAGGTGCCATTCCAACATAGCACGCTTTAGGGTAGAATACAGAAAAGAGGAGGAAGGGCCATTCCAAGAGAGCAGACCTTGTGACATTGTGTGAGCCACGCGAGGGCAAGAAGAGGAAGGTGCCATTTCAACAGGGTAGACCTTTCGTGAGCCACCCGAACGCAACATTTTGAGTGAGGAAGGTGCCTTTTGTGAGCCACCCGCGGGCAACATTGAGAAGAGGATGGTGTCATTCCAATGTAGCAACATGCCTCTGTGCCCAAGTGAGCCGCAGTGTGGGCAAAGGGTTCATGCATGCGCTAGTGTTAGTGAGTTAACTTTTGCGCGCAAGTGATGTCTTTTTGGACATGGCCTCTTCATCATCAAGTAGGTGCATGGGGGCGCACTGCCGACATCACTTGCCCAAGTGAGGTGAGTTTTGCGTGCGCAAGTGAGTTGCGAGCCAACCCCAACAAACACCACCAAGAAACATGACACAGGCAGCCGCGCACAGAAACATCCAAGCACACGCCCTTCCCCCAAACCCCCTCCAGCGCCACGAAATGCGCATATTTAAAAGGTCGACCACGCCCCACTGCACTGGACACCATTGCGAAATTTGCGCTACTTCTTTCACCAGTGTACTTTGCTTGCTACGACAGCTGTTTCTCTCAAGTGTCAGCCCCGCTGCCGAAACTGTTTCTTTTTCAAGCTCAGCCACTCACCCCACCTTGTGTCCGCAGTTCCTTTCCCCAGGTTGCCGTAAATAGCAGCGAATTGTGAGCCCCAAGGATTTTGAACAAACACGGAAAAACAAACACATCACGAATTAGAAGTGCACCCATTAAATAGCAAAAACCGGTAGCAGGATCTGCGAAATGAATTCTGTTCAGACCCCCTTTGCTTCTTCTCTGTGAGTGTCAGATGACCGGCATCAACAAGCAGATGGGACTGGACTATATACTCTCTCTATATATATAGTATGAATCTTTTTCTTACTCCGCCGCAAGACTACCTTATTGCAGAAGATTTTTCACAATAGAAAATGTTGATCCAGTTCCATCCCTTTTCGCCCAGAGGATGGCAAGACCTTCCTTTGCGACCCGGTGATCGTCCCCCACTCTCCCAGGACGTGGTGGAGCTCCGAAAGGTCCTGGGGCGATCGCAAGAGGCGGCCGAAAGTCTTACCGTGGGGCGAAGTGCAGAACCTAAGGCGTGAACTACATCGAAGTCCAGGTCCAGGTCTGATTTCAGTGGTATGATGTGTATGTGTAAAATATATGTTCTGTTCCAATGGTTGACATCATACGCCTATCCAAAACAAACAAGATTGGGTTTTGTTTGCGCAGCACCACGGCGGGCTTCAATTCTTGCCTTTCAACAGGTTTTTGCAACAGGTCACTTGCGATGACCGTTGTTGGTGGCTAACCTCTTTGAGCGTGACGGCCCTCACCTCGAGCAGAAGAGTCTCGATCATGGCAGCACACCAATGAAAGTTAAGTCCTCATTTATATTGGTCATTGGTCACTGTGTGCCTGATGGTGCCATCCTCCTGCCAACTGGTGCAGAAGAACTTGTTCTTCAACTGTATGTTGTCAAATCCATGTCTATCATTGTCTACTGGATTTGGTTCATTACATCGTTCGTTGACCACTGAAAGCAGGGGTGGCTTCCTGCTTCGCCAGGTCCTCGCCTTCAAGGTGGAGTCTTTGGCTGCAAAGCCGCTCGGCGGAATCCGCTTTCGAAGGCTTTCGAGGGCAGTGTGCCCCACCTAGGATAGTCAACTTTTGCATTTGCACACCCTTGCACGCCCCTATAACCCTAAAAAGATCATCAAATGACAAGATATGATACGATACTGTCATATACCGTCCTTTAATTTGTGTGAGCCTTGGGCATAGGTAAACCGCCCATCGTTTGACATGATTTGCCTGAAGCAACTACCATAACAACCCCATACTACCCCTGCCAGACTTCGCCTGCGGAATGTGGTAGGGAATGGTTGGTTCAACTCAAGGGGATGAGATGGAGATACACGGAGTTCTCCTCGGCTGACTCGTCGGCTGCTACCTTTGCTGCTTATTTTGACATGGATTCCAACCTCGGTGTTGAACTCGTCTTCCGGATGCGCACCGGATGCTCGTTTGCTGCGTCCGTGCGGCGTGTTGTAAGATGGAGCACTTGCAGGAAAGAATGCAATCCAAGGTTTCCTTCCCGCACCCCACCGCTGCGCAGCTGCTGAGACTGCAGATGGAATGGGTTTGTTGAAGAAGTGCATGGGAAGTGGCAGCAACGAACGGGGTATGGCTATGGCCTGGGGATAGCTGAGCCGTGCGAGTCAGATTTGTCGGTGTATTTGTGCACCTCACCCTTCAGCTCACTCTTCAAGAAAGCAAGCAGTTTGCTTTTTGCATCTTTTTGCTTGAGCCACTGGCCTTCGCTCTTGACTCAACAGAATCCCAAGAAGCGGCGTCAAAACCTCGAGCCGAGCCCCCGGAATTGTGATAGGTGAACTTTCCCGAAACGCATTCATCCCCTCGCAACGTTTTGGAATACACTGGGTCACTGGGTCCTTGGTAACAAAGCTTACTGGAAGATCCCCACAACCCGGCCAAAATGTAGCTTCCGCCATAGATCTATGCACCTGCATCGTAGATTTTTGGAGCTTCCCATTCTTGTGCACATGTCCAATCATGTCCACGGGCACCAGCTTTATGCCCAGCACCGCAGTCGACCGGCGCAAGGCTCGCAGGTCTTTCAATTTGGACTTCACAGCGGTGCCCGGCTCGAGCGAGGCTTGCCGTGCTCGCTGAGTTCGCGGGCGAACTATGGCGGAGCTGCCGTGTTCTCCGTAGACGCCGTAGACCCGAAATGACTCATGGCATTACTAGGAACAAGAAGCTACTAGGAGCAAAGGGCATCGCTTCTAGGAGCAAGGACGCTACTAGGGGCTCTTGTACTAGAACAATAAAGCTACTGGGAACAATCCCCGGATGTCTTTGATTTGGTCACCTGCTCAGAGGTAGAGAAGGGCAGAACCCCCGGCACAGGGAACTCTGGACAGGTCATTAAGACGTGGAATTCCTCAAAGCCTCAAAGCAGCACTTCGATGACAGCATATAGCTGGCCCCTGTGTCCCACACCGGTGACCGCGAACCGCAGGTGAGGCCTCGTCCACGGACCATGCCTCGGTGGAGCGTTCCGTGGAGGTCACGGTGGCGGCTCGGCATAGCGGGTGGGTGTGGGGGCCCACGGGTGAAGAGAATATTAGGATATAGAATGATATAGACTATATAGATATGTTAGGAGGCTATTAGGTGGCCATCGCAAGTAGCTTGGAGGCCATCGCTACTAGTAACAACAAGGTACTATATTATAGCATCGACAAGGCAATAAAGATATAGAGAAGATGGCTCCAAAAAAGACTTGGATGACCATGGTCGTCTAGAAGCTGCCTGATCGTGGGCCTGGATTAGACTTTGCCATACTTTGCGCCCAATCCAGCTTGAAAGCACCAACAAAACTAAAGGATTCCTAAAGGCAATCCACAGAACTTTTCGTTGTTCTTGTCTTAAGACTGGGGGTGGAGCCCTTAGGATCCACCTGGAGGCGCTCGTGAGCACGCGCCCTGAACCGTGGACCCTCCAACGGGTGTTTCCTTATGACATGCTTTGAAACCATGTTTGGGTCTATATAAACACCAGCTCTTGCCAGGTCCTGGTATATGGTATGCAACATCCATGTAACCTTTGAAATGATTGGGGACGGCTTGTTTGACCGAGGTAAACTGGTATCATGCTTACTGCTTACTTAAACTAAACCGCGCATTTGCAATCACTAAACAAGGACCATGTTTGATGGAGGGTGTAGGTGCAAAATCAAAAAGCATCAAATCAAGGACCATGTCTACGCCTACAGAGCGAGGTTTCGGTTCGCTTCGGTTTCACCCGGAAAGCCCAGGCGAATGGATCTGTGGAGGAAGGCGGCCGGATCCGTTCAGCCGGATCGGGCGAAGAGGGCGAGCGGAGTGGAGAATTGGCCCGGCTTGACTTTCGTGCCGGAGCAGTAGAATATGGTAGAATCAGTTCAGGAGAGTTTAGGACGCTTTAAAGATGGACCATTGGACCATTTGAGTTGGCCTTAGCCAGACACCGGGAGACAATAGAAAAATACCGACAGCATCCGACAGCAACTCCCCGGAAATGCAAACAAAAACACTTGGTAGGACCCCGTCCGATCTCACACTCGCTCCTCAAACGGGCGTCGACGTGCGCGCATGTCGCGCACTACGAGAGCGGCCCGTGTGCAGCGAATCAAGAGATTACGGAGATTACACTCCGACTCTCTAACAAGCGGGAAATCCATGAACATGTTCTGTTCCTAATGGAGAGTATAGTCTTCCAAGGGACCATGCCATCCACTTCCATGTTAGCGAGTCAGAGTGTATTGCTTCAGCAGGTTTATGCTGGTGGTATCCTTGGGTTTTGATCTCACAACTTCATTGTTCTTGCTCCACCGCATAGACTCCGAAAAGCTCACAGATAACACATTGAACAAACAAACACATTTCAGGGGTCAAAGTCGTCGCATTCACTGCAGGGGTCGGTTCGCTTCGGAGCCGCTTTTTTTTCGCCGTTCGGTGCCCATCCGCAGACGTGGGCTGCGACTTACTGACGCCGTGTCCGATGGCGTACACCCACGACTTCCAGGACAACACGTCCGTCGCCGGGCAATGCGTCGATCGGCCGGTTGGAAGCGCGCAATACGTTTGTCGCACTGCATCAGACATAGACGTAGGCAACAACGTGTGCAAGTGGACCAGGCCGCAAAGCACCGGCAGCACGCAAAGTAAGCTGTCTAGAGTGCTAATTACATCTAATTACTTATGTCCACTTTCTTGAGCATAGTTCACCGCCAAGTGAAACACTTGCGCTGGGCCTTGTTCGGGGTGGACAACCCTGCACTAGGCAATGAGCATGCCAAGATGAAGCCATCCCATTGTGCTAAACTGGACCAATCAACATGTTTCATGTTTCATTTTGCTACGCATGGTTCATCACTGGTGACCAGGCATGAAATGGTCAACCGCGGCGCCGCAGCAGGAGCCAACCAATGCAGCGTCCCTCTGACGCTTTGAGACGCACCGGTCCCACGATGCTGGTGTGTTTAAAATTTTCACCCGAATACCTAAAATCTCCCAAAGGTGCATCGAAACTTTTGTGCTTCGCAGTTGAAGCTTGGCACGCAGCTTATGTGTTATATATGCACATTGAATTGGTTTGCAACTATGTGGCCTGCGAAGCCCGGCTAGTTTTGGCGTCACCTACCTGGAAACCGAAACAACCCAAACAAATGTTTGTTCCAATATAGGAATTGAGATCCTAATCATATAGAAAATGGCTGTTTGGGGACACATCCATTTGTTTGGGTTGTTTGGGATTCCAGGTCTGGTTTTGCACCTTGGGCTCAAAAACGGATTCCGTTTCGTCGAAGAACGGATTAAGTTTCGTCGAAGAGCCGCCCTTTTCCAAAGGAACCGGGCAGCCTGGCCAGCGATGGCCCGATGGAATTGGGGGCCAGCGAGGATGCAAAGGAGTCCCCGGCCTCTTTTCAAATCTTTTCAAGCTGCTACATTGGCAGCTGAAGCTCCTCGTTGAACTGGAATGCAGTTGTTGACCTGCCTCATGTGCAAGTGCAGCTGGCTTAGATTCAACACATGGAGGGCCTAGTTTTCCTGCTACTGGGATCATTGAACAGCCAACAGGACACAATGATACACAATGTATGTCTACAAAGCACCAGGATAATGGATCGGAAGCAAAGTTGCATGGAAGTGTAATACTTTGGTACAATAGGGGCATGGATAGAGATTTGGTTTGCCTTTCTTATCGGGCGCGCGCATCACGTGTTTGCAAGGGCAACAAGGACTCCATTTGCCGTTGACATTTCAACAACGTTTGGATCCCAATGGATGGCAGCAGTTGAGATAGGTGCCATTCATTCAAAAATTGATTTTGAATTTTACTGTTGGTGTCAAGTTTGATGTGCCACTTTGAAAACCGTATTTACGGACAGATGTCCTTTGGCCCATAGACTCCCAGACCAGGCCCGCACAATCCTTGATAGGCTTTTGCCTTTGGCATGCCTTGGGTTTGAGAACGAAACCCTGGTTTGCAAGCAGCGACATGCCCTCACTTTCGCCGGCGGAGTGCCAGTTTTGCACCCCAAATTGGGGCACCAAGACGGCCTGATGAGAATGTGCTTGGAATCATGAATGAATGAAAAAGGCATGATCGCGAGGGGTCTGGAGGCAAAGCGGCCAGGCGAGCATGAAGATGCATGACACTCTGTGCGGCTTTGATGCCTTGCCTCAACAAGATGCCAGGCTAGTAAGCTAATTAGATAAGCTAATAACGATATAATATACATATATATCTATATATTATATTGTATAACGATGCGGCGCCCCAATTGCATCCAATTGCAAGGGCACGTTAATTCCTTTTTTGTTTAGTGGTCCCCAAGTATATAGAAACGGTTTGCAACAAATGAAAGGGACATAAAGGGACTTTACTTTTCAATCCATTTGGGGATCTACTATTTATATAGTCATATACATATACAACATTATATAACTATAATATTACTCCTAAGCTGAACGACATTGGAGTGATGCGAAATTTTATCCTTTATATAACTTTAACGCCTGGTAGCTGTGGAGCTGTTCGAGCAATCTGACCCCAGCCCCCCAGTGGGGGGCTGGTGGAATGTGAAGCACAGATGCCAGGAACTTGGCAACGAGCAGGAACTGGTGTGGACCTGAAAGTTGGGTGCTTCCTTGAAGGAGGTGTTCTTGACCCAGAAGGGAGAGCTCAAGGTACCATCCTCTTGGGCATACGTGAGGTGGGTCGAGATCATGGAGGCACCCCAACGATTTCAGGTCAGTTTCTTGGATGTACGGACTCGCACTATCGTTGGTGGATGAGGGAAGGAGAAGGCCGCAGAGTGGCTTCACAGGGATGGTACCATCTATGTGGAGAAAGGCCCGGGGCTTGCGCGGCCATCCGTGGAAAAGCAAAGATCATCCACCTTGTGAAGGTGCGAGAGCTCAGTCCAGAGGACTTCACAGAGGGGAACTTTGGTTTCCTCAAGAAGGTAGAAGAAAGGAAAGCCTTTGACGACGCCCTTCATGACTTCAACCGGAAGATAGCCGGTGACAAGAGGCTACCCGCCCCTGAGCCGGGCGTGGGACCCAAGGCTACTTGGGGATGTGAGAGCAATTCGTTTGACTCCAGGCTGAGCCGAAGTCGTCGTCGCGACCCGTCCCCCACCAAGAAGAAACTCCAGGAGAGACTTGAGGTGCTGTGCCACGACCTCAAGAAAGCTGAGAAGGATGCAGCCGACCACAAAGCCAATCGAAGGAAGGAGAAGGAACGTGCCCGTGACAAAGGGGGGCGTAGAAAAGAAGGCAAAGACAACAAGGAGAGGCAGGGAGAACGCAAAGAGAAGAAGCGAAAGGAGGATCATGCTGGAGAGCGAGGTAAGGAAAAGAAGAGAGGACGGTCTCGCAGTTCTCTGAAAGGGCATCGTCCTAAGAGATCGAGGTCGGGCTCAAGGAAAGACCCAAAACGTAGGAGAAGATCGCGATCCAGGAGAGGCTCCAGTGACAGCAGCCGAGATGGCAAGCGTACCCCGCTCTTCCATTCTCGGGGGAGTGGTGGCGAAGGAAAGCAAAACACTGGAGACAAAAGGGCCTTTGGCGAAGGGCCTGCGATCCCCTATGATGACGCGTCTGAGACTGAGGATGAGGCAGTTTTTCGGCAAGCCCCCTTGAAGCCCGCGAAAAGCTCACAGTTGAGGCTGCTCAACTACAGCAACAAATACCCAGGAAGACTCGCCAGCCGCATGTTGCTCAAGATGCAGGCACAGTTGGCGAGGGGCCTAGAGGGGGCGACCGATGAGAGGACCCCCCCGGTTGCCATGAATCATGTTCTGACAGTCATGCAACCAACACTGGGGTCTCGCCTCGGAGTAAGGACGCTCCGAGAAATGAAAACACTGGCTCAATGCCTAGACTTCCTGTCCACCGGACGGAGGGGGCGCGCCACGGGCGAAGGACATTGGTCCAGCGCTCAATTTCTCGAACTCCTTCCACCGGACAATGCCACACTCCTCGAGCGCGACGAAGAATGGTTTCTGGCGCAGGAGTACCTGCAAGACCGCAAGATCAAAGAGTACGACCGCGGTCACCCCCCGAAAGGGGGCTGGGACAATCAGAAAGGCAAAGGGAAAGGGAAGGAGACCAGAAAGGAGAGAAAGGCAAGGGCAAGAAAAAGGAGCCGCGGAAGGACAAGGACGAGTGAAGGATGAGGTCACGGAGGAGTCTCAGGATGATGCCGCCCATGACTTCTGGAAGGTCGAGTTGAAGAAGCTCCTGGATATGGAGGTCGCGCCCAGTGAACTAATTAGCCATGCCGCCATCCACCTGTCAGGTTTACCCTGCCTCTTTTCAAAGGCAGTGGGAGCGATGGAGTTGTCTGAAAATGGTGAGGGCGAACCACACAGGACCGCCGAGGTCCGCCGTCTTCTTCCCGTCCATCGTGGAGCAGTGCGGCATTACTGCTCTAAGCTTCCTGGCAATGTGGGGAGCTGGGTTTGCCTGATGGTGGATGTGTTGAACCACATGTACCTGGGAGGCAAGAGAGTCATGGGGCGCAAGGTCCTCAGTGACTCCCAGAGGTGTGCGCTTGAGATGCTCATTCTTGAGGTGGAGAACTTTGTGGAAAAGGAGTCAGCCGTCAAGAGATACGAGGAACTATGGCACGACCTCGGAAGGGTGAGATTCGACTACTCCGGAGAGCCGGATAGCTATAATGGAAGAACTTGAAGCTTCCAAAGCAGTGGCTTGTTGGCCTCGGCCAGGTGAGGCAGGGATCCAGCCGGCAGTGAACTTTGTCGGCGAGGAAGTGCGTGAGTGGCTGGAAAACCCTCGCTCTACCCTGCTCCCCAGGAGTCAGTGTCCAGAGAACCCCCCGAAGAGTCGGGTGCATGCAAGTGATGCGGAGCGGGAGGCCCTGGTGCGAGCAGGAGTTGAACGAAAGATGATGTGCGAAGTCGCTGAGGAGGACATCCTTCGCGATCAAGAAGGAAGGATGGTCCTGAACGGGGCCGGAGGAGTGCCGAAGATAAAGCTGATAGACGGCAAGGAGGAACGTCTACAGCGCTTCATCACCAACTTGGTGCCGTCCAACTCCTACCAGGAACACATGCTGGGCGACGACCGTCATTTGCCCTACCTTGGACAAATGTCCATGTTGGAGTTGGAGGAAGGGCAGGAGCTGCTGGTGGATTCCGAGGACCGAACCAGCTGCTTTAACCTCTTCTCGTTACCGCCCCAGTGGGCTGGAATGATGACGTTCTCCAAACAGGTGAGCTCGGCTGTGTTTGGGGGCCCCCCCAATCAGAAATCCTGGGTGGCCATGTGTGTAGTCCCCATGGGATGGATCAACAGCGTCAGCCTTATGCAGACCGTGGTGAGAACTTTGGTATTCAAGGAGAGCTCCATACCTTATGAGAGCGAGATCTCGAAGGCGAAGCCTTTTCCTACCGATGCATCAGCCTCGCTGGTGTATCTGGATTCGTATGATGAACTTCGCAAGGTGCATCGGGCCTGCAAAGAGGTCCTGGAGGGCCATGCGTCTGAGCGGCATGAGAGGTTTGCGGCAACTTGCCAACACCATGGACTCTCCCTCAATACCGGCAAGCGCCTGGTTGGAGCCGTCCGAGGATCCCTGCAAGGAGGCCTTCTAGAGGGTGAAAAAGGGGTCTTTCATTCCTCCCCGGACAAGCAGTGTTCACTCATTGGCTATGGCATGATGATCTTGGCCACCGGAAAGGCTAGTGAGTTCGAGCTCCGCCACTTTGTCGGCAAAGCCCTGTTCAACCTGGCATTCCGAAGACCAGCTCAGCCATGTCGATCCTTGAGAGCGTGTTCAGTGACATCGAGAGGCTGAGTCGTGAAGCCGGGCGACAGCCGTTGAGCCCTGCTTCTACGGAGGAGATTCTTATGGTGATGGCGCTGACCCCCATACTTAGGATGAACTTGCGAGCGCAGATGGATCAGGAGGTCACCATCACAGACGCATCACCGTTAGGGGCTGGAGGAGGAGTTGCAGAGGTTCAAACGAGAACCAGACACAGAAGGTGAGCCAGGGGAGGTTTGCTTCTACTGCGCAGGCGAGTTC